ATAATGAGCTAATCTATTTAGTTTATGTTTATAGAGCGACCACAACGACCGACAACACGAATCTCGCCTCGAATTCATATTTAATATGGGCTGACATAAATAGTCGGATGTATCAGATGGAAGGTCCAGAAATTAAATTGAACAGATTTATTGGCATTCTGTGCATTTTTTTATTTTGAGGTTTCATAAAAATAAAAACATCAAAAATGACACATTTACCGGAATGAATGGTTTTTGAAGTCAGGTGAAGTTTGCCGATTTCACATTATTTATTTAATAATACCTGGTTTAGTGTCTGGTTACAAAAATCGTTCGCGTAATAAATTCCAGGTTATTTCGAGGTGGTGTTATTGCATACACACCGGTTGTGTTTTTTAGGAGTTGTGACGAACAGAACGCGTTATTCTTGCATGTGCGTTTGACGAGTCTGCCAAAAGCGTAAATTTTCCATATAACTTTAATAAAGCGTCTGCTACTTTTTTAAGGTTTACGGAAAAACCGATAAAGGTAGGTTATTTATCTGTTACCTGTGATAACATTTTTTTACAATAAGTACGTATTTGAAAATTATGAAATTATTTACGCTTATATCGGTCTAGATCAATGTCACTTTATCTCAAATTCGGATCTATTCCGGCGCCTCCGCCAAAAATGGAGTTATTTTACGCTGCAGTTAATACTAATTTCTATTTGCAACATATTTCTCGGCAATTATTTTTCAAATTATCAGGTAGTGCGTATAAAATTAAAATTTAGTTGTGTTCTAACTACCTTTAACTTGTGTTTATCTGTGATTAATAATTTTTCAACAGCAAATCAAATGAAAAGTGCTCCAATACTGTATATGCGCTACTACCCTTTTTTTCTAAAATAAATTGAAGTTTCGTATTTTGTATCACGTTTTAAGGTCACACCCGATAACATATTTTTCAGAGGATTACCCGAATGTGGTTCAAGACCGATTAACTAATCTAATCCACAATAAGTTGTTTACTTATAAAAATTACGACGAATTGAAGATCTAAAAGTACTTGTTTAATAGTAAGTAAACAAATAGCAAGCTGATTTTGAAATAGAAAATACTATCATGTTTCGTGTAAATATATAATTTTATATTGTTTAATAATACGTGAGTCTTTTTACTTCCCGAGCGTAAGCAAAGGAAGTATTGTAATCGAGTCCGTCGGCCGACTCTCTACTTTTACGTTTTCTCGATCTTTCATGACCCCTAGAAGACGAAGAAATAGGTCTCCCATTTCCGTCTGTCCGTCCGTCCGTCTGTCCGTCCGTCCGTCTGTCCGTCCGTCCGTCTGTCCGTCCGTCCGTCTGTCCGTCCGTCTGTCCGTCTGTCCGTCTGTTGTCCCGGATTTTATTAGACAGATAATCTCCGAAAGTACTCGACCGATTGTTGTGAAATTTTGTACTTATATTAAGAATATCATGTAGATGGTAAAACGCTAACCAAAATTTGTCTAATCATCCCCATCACTAATGCGATGACGTCACTTCAAAATTGTACATAGTAAATGGGTTTTCAATTGTATAAAATAACATAGTCCTACACATGTAGTTTACAACTCTGAATCGACTTTTCACCCGAAACGTCCAGATTTTTGGAAAAAAAATCAAAATTATAAAACAACATTTTGAAATTTAATTTTTAATCTGCTAACCAGAATGCTTTGAAATGTTGCAGATGTTTTAAGGCTATAAAGAGCATCATAAATCTTTACTCAAAAAATATTTGCTTATCCCCTCCAAAAACTTGATGACGTCAGCTCAAAAGTTTGTGGAATAAATCATATCTAAAATGTACAAAATATGATGAGTCTGTACTTGTGATCTATCACTCCATTCATATTTTTTGGATTTGCATATACAGGGTGACTCAAAAAAATTAATGAATGCGTAAATATATTTTATTGATTTAATCAGGAACTACAAAACCGAATGCTTTGAAATCTTGCAGATGTTTTAAGGTTATAAAGAGCATAATAAATGTTTAGTCAAAATATATTTGCTTATCCCCTCCAAAAAATTAATGACGTCAGCTCGAAAGTTTGCCGAATAAATCCTATCTAAACTGTACAAAATATGATGAGTCTGTACTTGTGATTTCTCACTCCATTGATTTTTTTTGGATTTGCATATACAGGGTGACTCAAAAAAATTAATGAATGCGTAAATTTATTTTATCGATTTACTCAGGAACTACAAAACCGAATTCTTTGAAATCCACTGCGAAAAAAAAACATAATAGGCATGCAGTCGTCACGTTTCCGACAGCGAGGGAAGTACTGTCTAAACTCTTTAGACCAATTTTTTTTAAACTAATTGACACGCGTATTTTTTAAATTTTATTTTTTCTATTCATATTTAGACTAAATTCGTAGATAATTACATGTGGCCCGTCCTTTAAAATATTTGATAGTTTAAGTTGTCACAAGCAGCAATTAAGAGTCAAAAATTTAAGTTAAAATGTTTTAAACCGAAAGTGTTAAAACGATGAAGAAATCTAGTTTGACACACGAAAAGCGAATGGCATATTAGCAAGGCAAAGCTTGCCTACTAAAGTCGTGAAACTCAAACTTTTTCTCTTTCAATCTTATGCACTTTGTGTGAGACAAAGAAATCATCAAATTTTGAGTAGGTCGTAGAGTCTTATGTCATGTCAAGCAAAACAAACAATTTTAAATGTGTTAGACTATCTTGATAGAAACCAAGACGTTTTAGAATTTAAGAAAAAAAGGAAGACAGAACTGGCCACAGGAATGTTGACAATTTCGGAAAGATCTGTCTACACGCTGCAATAAAATCCAGGTTCAAGGGACCTTGAATACATGAAAAATATGTCTTCTAGAATTAGTTACATAAAGACAAAAGCGAATCCTGTAGATTTAATGTCAATCCGGGAGATTATTTATAAATAAAATGGTTTCTTAAGAATACATTGCTATTAAGATATTCCCGATTTTAACGTTGGTCCTAGATCGTTAACCAACTGGATAAGGAAAATTGGTTTCAAATTTAAAACAAATAGTAAAAGATTATTTTTGATGTAACGGTCTTCAGTTAAATTAAAAAGAACAAAATTTTTACGTCAATACCACCAACACAAAGGAAAAATTCATATGAACCTCTTTTTATTGATGAAAGGTGGGTGGGTATTTAGTAAAGGTAGCATATGCAAAAAGACATGGCAGGACTTCAGTAAACACAGCTATTGCAAAACCTGGAGAATGGTGTAGATATATTGTGGTTCACGCTGGAAATAAAAACGGTTTTATTCAAGAAGCCTCTTTAATTTTTAAAGCTAACAGCAAATCCGAAGACTATCATGATAAGATGAACCAGGAAAATTTGGAAAAATGGTTGAAAGAACAGTTGATACCAAGTTTGCGGAAACCTTTTCTTATTGTGATAGATAACGCGAGTTATCATAGTGGAACTCGTATAACTGAGGAAAACCTAGAAAAAGTAGTAATTGTTATTAGGAACTCCAGAAGTTGTAGGCCACGACTGCAATAGCGCTGGCGATCTGACGGAAATGAGCATCACTTTCGCGATGCCGAAGTCTGGTCATAACGCATTCAATTCATTGTCAAAAAACCTTAATTTCTTTGTTAATTAAGATATATTGTCATAGTGTATAATTCCAGCAGATTTTATCTAAATTGAATTTAGTGTAAAACTTTAATAGTAATAAATTACATTGTGAATTTTTACGACCACAGACATTTTAATTTTATATGTAATTTATTGGTGGTGAATCCGATTCCGGAAGTATTCATAATCACATTATATGATCTTTCTCAAGTGCAATAACGGTAGTAGACACATATATAAAAAAGAAATAATCTAAAAGATTTACATAAATCTGCTGGTACTAGACCAGGTGTTTTAATCAATGCACTATAAAAGCACAATAAAAAGAAACAATTCATGCAAATCGTAAAATATAATTACATGTAATAAGAGGTTTCAGTGTAATAACTAGATATATTATTATCGGCTTTTGTGTTACAAATTGTAGATATGTAAATTGAGAATGCACCGAAACGCTATTTTCTTTGTAACTTCACTGATAACAATTTTCATACAATTTTCAGTAAACTGCGTGTTCAAAATTGTAACATTCCTGTTTAAAACACTTAGACTGTGACATTTTTTAGCAACCAAAAGTAGGTGCTATCAATGCAAATTGCGGAAGTTCAAAATTAATGGAATAATGATAAGTTTTATTCTTTAATTAGATATTAATTTATAACACAACTCTAAATCATCAAAGCTGCTGTCATCATCTTCACGATCACTATCATCTGAAACGGAATTAACATTGATACCGACTGATTTGTTTCACAATTGTCCAGTTTGCCATGCCCATTTTTTCCATGTGCCTAAGATAATTTTCCCAATGTACCTTCGGAACTTGGTTTATAAGATTTTCTCAAGCTTTCAGTACATGGACAGGAGAAGCATTCGTTTTTGGAATACTTTTATCGTATGGCGGAAGTCTTAGGACACAATGTCTATGTTCTTGAGCATAGTGATCTAAATTATCCAATTTTTTGGGCAGTCTATTGCGCACAATATTCCAAATCTGATCTTTCATCGCTTTTTCAGGATAATCATGTTTTTTTATATTCCATATCACTTGAACCTGTATTTTTTTTTGTAAATTATATCAAGATTTTTTAGAAATTTTTAACATTTCGGCCGTCAATTCTGTTTTTCTTTTTTTCTTAAATTGCACAACATGACATTTTTTTTCTAGATAATCAACATATTTAATACAGGGTCATTATAAAATATTGTAGTCGAAGAAGGCCATGATTTTGGTGACATTTTGTGCCGCCTTTTTCAGTTTTGTGGAAAGGATTACACTAATATTGGAATTTTTATTTTTAGCGCCACATTAGTTGACATTAGCGGCTGCACTGTTTCAACGCGTCATCAAATTCTGTCAGATGTCAATAATTTTTTCGTTTGTACTGGTACGTTTTCCCTCACTTTGTGCGTTAATTGACTTGTCTTGTTTTCATTTTTGCTGTCTTCCCCTTTGTTAGAACTTTAATAAGTGTCTCAAAAAACAGTTTTTATCAAAATTACAGATCATTGTGGAATAATCTCAGGTAATGAACAGAGAGGAATAACTATGGTCAGTGTTACAAATGATTTTTTTAGTTCTTTGGCGCAATCATCATGCCTATTACCGTAATGGGGTGTTAAATGAGGATGGGGATGGAGTGTACTCTGTGGAGGCGTCTAAAAACGAGTATCTAGTGAAATGTTCTGTTGTCATTGATGAAGAATCTTTGAAGACGCTATATGGCGAATTATGGCCAGATTTAACGACACTGGTAGCATTTCTAAGTGAAAACCGACGGGGAGACCTCAAGTTAGTGAAGACGTTGTTGAAGATTTAAGGATGAGAATGGAACAAAGTCCGAATAAAGCTTTGTCAAAAATCTTTACTGTCCGGAGTACCATACAGCCCATGTCAGAAAATCGTAAAAGAGAAGTTACATATGCATCCATACAAGATTTTGTTGGTTCAGGAGCTGCAACCAGCTGATTTTCCTTGCCGCGTTGGGTAGTGTAGTTGATTTCAAGCTGATATGGACGATAACGGGATTCTCGATTTGTCGTTCTTTTCTGATGAAGCCTGGTTTCATCTGTTAGGCTATTATGTCAACTGACAGAACTTCAGAATTTGGTGTATAGAAAATACTCACGCTTTTGAAGAAACACCATCACACGCAATGAAGGTTGGTGTGTGGTTAGCAGACGACGATTCATAGGCCTGATACTTTTTCAAGTAAATGAATGTGATCAATAAACAAAATTAGATGTAGAAAGTGTATGTAGGTACTGCAATAAAGTTTTTTATTTTCAGTAACTTTCATTTTTCTTTCGGTGTTAGTTGCATTCTCTTAATTTAAAACTTACTTCAACTTACTGTTTAGTAATAATTGTAATTTTACTATTAGGAAAGTTAAAAATCTTTATTAAACATTCTGTTGTTTCAAGAGATCTCATAATCAGCTACAGAACTCTTAACACTATGCTCCTGAAATTTTATTGGTTTTTTCATCTTTTTTCTTATAGAAATTTTGAAAAATCTTGATATTAGGATGGCCATGTGGGCGTGTTTTGGGTAGAACCTCTTTGACATTCCTGTTATGCAGATCTGGCATGTTTCAGATATCTAGAAACTGCAAAGCTGAAGGTAATGTTTGGACATAGCAGTTTTCACCTATTGTAGGGATGAAGATCAAGGATTTCAGTTGTGTTTTTTCAAGAGAAAAGCACCGGTCACAAACCATGTCTGCACCAATATTTTGACGATTCCTTTCAATTTACAAACAGAACTTTCGCGGGATCACAACTTTGGCAAAATTATTTACTGCAAAAACTCATTAGGTACTCATAGTGTTCGTTAACTGTGATAAGACTTGCTCTGCCATTGTCCATTACGTGATTTTTCACAATTTTTACCTTCAGGGTACCTATAAAAATGTAATTTTTTAAATAATTACCGTGTTCATTGGTTTCGACAAACTTAACCTCACTTTTTGGATTTCATTATTTGAAAAATTATTGCTTCTTTGCAAAACAGACCAGATGATTTATTCTGTTCAACTCCAATCGACTTTCCAAGGTGTAATTCATGACAAAGCCCTTAAACGTTTTTCTGACAATTTACAATTTTTGAAACTGAAATGTATTGCAGTGGCGTTCACAAATGCCCGATAACACTGCAACCCTTAATGCTCTGGCCTGGCGTCTTTTCGTGTCTATTTAAAATGAATTTAAACCGCGAACCGGGCATTTCAATTTTTGACACATCTGACAGATTTGTTTGGACGTTCGTGACATTTCAAAACAGTTCAAATCATTTTGGTGATTAGCGGCACGAGAAAAATTTCATTTGTTTTTCATAGGTGAGTTGACTACAATATTTTATAATGACCCTGTATAACTTGTTTTGTTTGATCACTAAAACGTTTCATTGTTCAGAATTAAATAGAGTCGTAAATAAACCAAAGATTCTGATGACAAATTTTAAAATTTGCCATAAAATTTCTGCGACATACTCAAAATTTGGTCATTTTGTCTCTCACAAAGTGCATAACATAGAAAGAGAAAAAGTTTTAACTGGAGGATTTCCACCACTATTCATATATTTTTCTTTGATATGAGTTAAATTGTAGAAATAAAACATTTGGCAAAAAGCTAGGATTTTCAGTAAACGCCTTTCGGTTGGTCTTTTGGCTTGTGGCAGCCATTCGCCGTCCAATAATCATAACAAAACCTCCCCACCTCGCTAAAAGCTCCACAATAAAGATGTCTATATCGCAATTGCGCCGTCGACGTCGAAATAAAACGATTTTAACGGCGCGACCGCAAAATACCTCATATAAAACTGAAACAACCACCACTGTTTATTAAAAGCTGTATGAATTATGTTTCCCGCATTGTGAATGTATTTTTACACTGGGGGCTTTTAACAGCTCCTAGTCTGCTGCCGTATGCCACGCCGGATTCATATTTAGTATTTATGGCTTTTGTAGCCACTTAGTGCGGCTTCGAACAGCTGAAAGTGTCGAAGGATCCACGAAAATTAGAGACAGAGTCTTTCGGGAAGCCGTTGTCTGAAAATCCGAGCTCTAAACCTTTCAGTCGTCGTGTTCGGATTCTCGGCGCTAAATCGACTGAAATAATTAACGCTTTCGACTGTTCGCATTAACCAATTATAGGTGACGAAAAGCAGAGATGAGCCAGCTTAAATCTCGCGGAAAATGCTGGCGTAAAAACGAGAGGAGGAGCGCTATCTGTTATGGAAATCTCGCTGGCATTGTTTAACCGGCCATAAATTAATAGGCAGGGAAAAATCGTAATCGAAATAACGGGACGGCGCTAATCCCGAGAGGGCACTATGAAAAAACACCTTGTAAATTATTATGTTGGTAACGTTACCGCGATTGCATTAGCTGTTGAATATAAGCACCGGATTTACATAATTGGATGGCCGGTTAAGAACATAACGCGAGATTGTCCAACCTTTAACCGACAGCCGATTTTCGAAACGAAGGTTCGGATTAACGATGAATCGGCGGCAGCCACAAATAATTCGACTAACTGTAAACAGATTCGAGATAATGGTAATAACAATCTCTAAAAATATGACGCGAGCAGCGCTTGGAACTCTTCCATTTTTTTATTATTAATTTTAATACTTTATGGATTCCATATATTATTGTTACGTTGGTGCGAAGACAACCAATAAAAAAGCTTGTAAATAATGGTCTACAACTCGTAAACATTTTAAAATGTTTTTTATTTTAGGATGTATTTACAATAATATGTTTTTATGATCGTGCCGAATAAAATAATACCGCCATTAAACAATTTCCAAACTCGTAACTCAAAATTATTTTCTGGGGTTCCTCACCACCGCGTCTGTACGTCCCTTCTAAAAATAATACCTTTATTCAAACAGGAAAAGGGTTTAGTGTCTCACGTTGCAGATTTATCGCTTATTTTCGTTCCCGTTTTGCGCACCCTTTAGAAAAATACGCTATTTCCTTTTCAAAAAAAAAACTTTTCGACGACACAACGAGTTACGTCTTGTTCCTTATCTTATCGTTCCAATAAATTTTGCATGTTTGTTTAGAATTAAACAAATAACATTGTAGCTAAGTGATAACAAATAAAATAAAATAAACAGCACTCCTGTTGTGTCGCAATTTTGACAGTCACGTGAGTGATGATAGCCATAAGTGAAAACTCCTTTCAACGTAAAACCAAAGTTCATTCATATGGCAAGAGCTGAACGGATGCCAGAATATGTGCATTCGCAAAAAAAAAGAAGTCCAAGAGCCGCGACAATGATGAGAGGATTAACTAAGTATGCAGCGAAAATAGAGCCGCAGAATTCTTGGTCTGAAAGACTGAATAACAAGTTGACAGACCCAAAAGTGCTTATAATTTACTTGCGGCAATAAACATTAATTAAATCTGAGTAATTGTCCCCTTAATTAAAACAGCGCTGTGTTTAAAACTATGAAAAATAACAAAAACAACACATTCAATTCCAACCCCAACCACTTTTTCGCAAGTTGTTTCTAAGGTCTGGAAATCGAGTTATAAATTTACGTTTCCAAACGTAGGATACTGGAAAGAATGCACAAATAGGACGTCAAACAGTAATTAAAATGCGGCCGATTATGCCCGTCGAGTCTTTATTTAATATTTAACAGGGTGCCTGTGTCCTTTGGCGAGAACTAAAAATTCATGTTTCCAACCGACAAGTTAATGAAGTTAGGACATTTTACATAAAAAAGGAAAAAGTCTTTTATGAAGCCTTTGGTTCTGGCCGAAAGCAAAAGTGTTACATTAACGGGGAGCCAGAGGATGATTATAAAAACATTAAAATCCATGCTGTCGCTGCCCCGACGGTCTCATTGCTATGCAAGACCGAACTCCTCGCCACGTACAAAAGGAAGCTCACAAAAGGGGGATATAATGATATACGCTCTATAAAGGACACCTTTGTGAGACATGTCTATTTGATTTTTGGAGCTGGACCAGAACGAAAGTCCTTTGGGAGCGATGTCCATTTCATTATTCTATATAACTTGCTGGTAAAATGGTCATACAAAGGTTGAAAAACAAGGAATTACTGTAATGCTGGCTTGTTAGGTCGGTTCTATTTGCGATTGTTGCGAGTAAACATCTATAAAAAAGACGTTTGCATCCAATTATTTTGCAAATGGTTAGTTGTTAATTAGGAACTTTGTTTGTCAAGAGTGGTGATAATTTTAATAAATTGTTTTCAGTAATAATAGTCATTACTAGAATATTTCAATGCAGATTTTAATAAATTGAAAAATACTACGTAGTCATTTAATGGGCACCTTACCAGCAAATACATTTCAGTTGTTAAAGTAAGTTTTAGTATTACTATTAAAAACTGATGTAGACTGGATTTACTACTCTTTTAATACGAATAATGTGAAATCTTCAGTCAATCATACTTAATGTAAATATTGTGTTAACGACAACAATAATTTTTACAAATACCATTTTGTAGCGTATTCATTGTATTCTGTTTACATTATGATTCTTACGATAACTAAATCACCACACACCCAACGTTCAACCCTTGTTTACAACGACGATGTTCTATTATAAATATAAGTATATTTTAAGAACATACACATGACTTGATAACTCATCTTAAAAACTAATTTTATCTTGTAAGTTAATGTTTCGCTACCACTTTTTAAGATACTAAGTAGCTAACTGGCAAGAAACGTGCTTTTGTAGAATACTCAAAATAATAAGTGTGTTCCACATAGGTATGTTGAAAACTAACTCTAATTATAATTAAATGTGTTATTCCGTTCGTCATTTATTTGCATTTAAAAATGTTAACGACTAAAAAAGAAAAATTTTACGACGGAGAAAATTATGGTACAATAAGGAATTTAAATATGCAAAAATATACGCGGTGCTTTAGTTAAATACATGTAAGCTCAGTGTGTAATTTATAAGCGGACCGGCTTCTAGATTATGTATTATTTCAAAACGTATTTACATATTGCGTATTTTTTCAGTAAGTACCGAAAACATTCTATAGAGAGTGTGAAATATACAGGGTGTCATTAGGTGCGTGCGCTCATTGATTAATTTTTTAGAAATATATCAAAAATCTAGGACCCAAGTTATACGATTGTGTGAAGACCATAGACTAAAACTATTTTTTAATTATACGCAGTGTACTGTTTTTAGGATTTATATTCACAGTTTATTTTTAAAATTCTGTTCCAACGTTGCCACGTTTATTCCAATTTTCTTAAAAATTTCTAGCAATAGAAGGGTCCCCAAAAAATC